TGCGCTACTCCATCGTTGTGGGGAGTTGATAGCGCAGAGAAAAATCGGAAGTGATTCAATTGTCATCGTTAAATCGTTCTAGCTAAAGATCGCTATGCAGTTCTCACGCGGCCGTGTCGGGGGTGCGGTTTGCTGCCGTCTCATACCGACCACGCACACTAGACGTCGCGGCATCATTAGTTAGATCCATTTGTTCGCAACATTTTCCCCTTGATGTCGCCTTGATCTCTTTTCTCACGTAGGACTTGGGCAAGCTTCTTGAAATGCGAAACTTGCTTGATTGTTCGCTCCAACTCCCATGTTGCTTCGTGCTCTGGCAAGCCATAGCACTTGACAAGGTATTCCTTCTTGCGATTGAATTGCCGTTGCTTTCGCAAAAAAGATGCTTCTATTCAGTTGAAAATGGAAATGGTGCGCCAATAATTCTCGCGCACAATCGGCGCTATACAAACTTCAATATATTTGTCCAGAACGACTTCATTGGTTTGTTTCAGTCGTTTTGTATCACTCGTTCCTCAACGCCTCGGAATACCATGGCAGGCTCAAGCGAGCAATATACCCCACTGGAAGCAACACTTTTCCGCTTCCGACTAGTTCCTAACGTACGCAACTTTCGTGGCCAGTCCTCAGGCACACCATTGGATTCCGTGGACGTTCGAATAACGAACATCGACAAGTTCAAACAGCTCGTGTACACAACGGCGGCACCACACATGAACCGCGCTGCTGCTGCTTCTTCCAGATAGAGCAAGGGCTCCTGACGATAAGCTGTAGGATCCATTCTCGTTTGGCAATGTCGAACGTCCGGAACTTGGCGGACGATTCCAACCTTTCAGCCGACCCATTATGAGTGTACTGCTTAATCCAACGCGATATGGTCGATGGTACTTTGCCATACACATATGCCAAGTACGACTTTGACAAGCCCAACATGAAGTGTCCATACAGGCAGTGAATCCTGGTGTCGGCTGACGCGTGGTTCTGGAGTACTATTCCTTGGAACATGAGGAATTGGACACTAAAAGTGCTGCAATTCGATTGGACGTGAGTTGGATCCTGCTTTGTACAATTTTCATGAAATTTCGATTTTGGGCTGAATCTATACAATAAAGAGCTCATTTCCTTTATCGTCCAGGACATGAGGCGTAGTCTTCGGAATAGAACGATTTTGAAATCGAGTTGGGTTTGGCACGTGGCGCTTCAACCGGTCAACGTTGAAGACATCATGCAGACGCCGCATTGACGCAGGTAGGGCCAACTGCATCGCATTTGAGTTGATTACTCCCGTCACTTTGAAGGGACCAATGAA